ATAAAAGCTGCCTCATGACCTGACTGGTTCAGTAACTTAAAACTTCTTAACAACTAGTGAGGTAAAAGACCACAACTAAAGGCTTTAAAAACAAGTATTATTGTTATTTAAAATCAATATGGACACTGTCAGGCCACCAATTTAAGGATTTTAAAATAGACAGCAGATTTCTCAATCAATTACCAAATTAAATTCTCCCTGGTGTCCTCTCAGATGAACTTAAATTCAAGTACTGCAAACTGTAAACGAGCTATGGCTCTTCAACACGTTTTAAAATGTATTATTTAGGTTGTGTTGTTTTAATCTGCTTTGGCCCACTTGAAAGTAATGAGTTACCTCTAATGAAGACCAACCCTTTTAACACTCCTAAAGGACATTCACACGATAGACGAAGCCATTCCTGCGAGTGTTCGCTCCTGGATCCAGTGCCTGTTGAGTGTAATGTCAACATTGATTCTCATCTTTGTCGCCACTCCTATCTTCATTGCCATCACCATCCCTCTGGCTGTAGTCTACTACATCATACAGGTAAGCGGAACAAGATAAAGCAGGAAAAATGAGGATTAAAAACAAACAAAGACACATTTCTTGAAACCAAACAGAATGTAATGCAAACAATGTATGTTGAAGAGAGAAATGCTCTATCGACAATCTAGTTATTTTGTCTTGTCCTCTCTCTTCACTTAGCGCTTCTATTTAAACTCTTCAAGACAGCTACGTCGGCTGGACTCGGTTTCTCGCTCTCCTATATACTCTCACTTTGGTGAGACAGTAATGGGACTGTCAGTGATAAGAGCCTATGGCCATCAAGAGAGGTTTCTCAAAAAAAATGAAAAAGTTTTGGATGAAAACCTCAGGTCCATCTACCCATGGGTTGTGTCAAACAGGTCAGATATTGACCACCAAATCCCCAAACTTTCATTTTCAATTTTGTAGTGTTTAAGTAAATGATGAGACTTTTAATCTATGTGTGTATTTCTGTGCATGTGTATTTACTGTACAGATGGCTGGCCATCCGTCTTGAGTTCCTGGGAAACCTGGTGGTGTTTTTTTCAGCTCTGTTAGCTGTTATTAACAGAGAAAATCTGGACAGCAGCTTGGTCGGCCTGTCGATATCCTCTGCCCTTAACGTCAGTCACTGAAACACTCACACTTGCATCACACACATTGATGATAATGATAATGATACTGATGTAAATGGCAATGATTATTACAGTTTCATGATTCTGGTGTTGATGAGGTATAATATTGCTAACAATGTAAACAGAGGCCTTTCTCCTCTTGGGACATTGCAGATAACACAGAGCCTCAACTGGCTGGTGAGAATGAACACAGAGCTGGAGACCAATATCGTAGCTGTGGAGAGAGTGAGCGAATACTCTGTGATAGAAAACGAGGTACGTTGGATTGAGTTTTGAACAAGATCCCATTTCCACATGTTGCAGCAGACCATTCTCACCATTTTCTTGAATAAACAAGCATATTACAGTTTGCCTTGACAACTACTCCACCATTAATATTCTGTTCTGTGTGTCTTTGTTTTCAATAGGCTGAGTGGGTAAATGATAACCGACCTCCTGAGAACTGGCCCGAGGAAGGAAAGCTAGAGTTTGACAACTACATGGTCCGCTATAGACCTGGATTAGACCTAGTGCTGCATGGAGTCACCTGTGACATAGAGGGCACTGAGAAGGTCTGTGTGTGTGTGTGTGTGTGTGTGTGTTTGTGTGTGTGTTTGTGTTTGTGTGTGTGTCTGTGTGTGTGTGTGTCTGTGTGTGGGGACTTTTCTTCCTTAAAGAAGCAAGTCCCCAACAGCGTATATCATTCTATTCCCCAGGAATTTAATGCAAGTGAATGTAATATCCTCTGAAGTCATGGAGACATGACTGTGTGTGTATAACAAGCCTGAAGGATGTATTAAAATTTCATTAGACCTCATTCAGACCTGTTATTAACATTCATCTGGAGTGATCTGATCATAACTGGTAGGCTGTAAGTTAAGGTCTTAACACAACCAAATGCATCCGATCTCTCAGATCCAATTCTGAGGTGGTCTGGAACGCATGGACCACATTGTATTTTTCTGTGTGAACGCAGATGCATCATAGGTAACACAAGTAGGACCACCTACTCAGCTAACATGCTCTTACCTGCTTCAGTTTCACGATGAATCAAACATATTTTATGCATCTCAGCGCCCATACATTATCTTGTTTGTGTGTGAGCATAATGGGTACATCATATAGAGCAGGGGAGTGAGATATGAACAGAAGAACACATTCAGGATGCAGTTAAATACCAGGTGTGACCGGGGCTTTAATCTAGACAGCTGGAAAAAACCAACAATTTACCCATCAACCAATAGAATTGTGTCCGTGTGATGGCTAGCTTCTTATGTTATTGGAACATCTGCAACAAGGCTGAGATGACTATAAATCCTATAAAATACTAATCCCCCAGATGGCTTATATCTGGGACCGATGGAGATGCTTTATTAGACAGTCTGCCGGCTACAGTTGGACACAGTATGAAGAAATGCTGCTCCTGTAAACATAAATTAAATGTGCTTACTAGGTGTTAGG